TCACTGATGATGCCAACTACGATTCCGGCGAAACATCTGAGCAAGTCCATGGTCTGATGCTGTGAATTGTTACAACTACTATGACAGAGGACCTCGGACAAGATACGTTCAACTAAGTCATTCTGAAAACAAGACCAAGTTGCAAAAACGAGGTTAAACCACTACTATAAATTCTTTATTATGTGTAAGAAACGATAATTTTTATTTTTAAGCCCTATACAAATTCACTTAGAGATCATCTGTTTGGTTCCGTATCCTAGGGGATTTCCTTCTTTGCGAACTTTTCTGTGATCCATATATTTTTTGGTTTCTACTATCTTCTTTCATACTGTATTAATTTAACATTTATTGATCCCTGTCATTATGATTGCCCTCGAAATTTCATTGAGCCCCTATTTGGTACGATCAGTCAGGTACTTTGCCAACATGGTAAAATTCCAATGGCCATCACGAGTTTTTACCCTTTCTTTCTTATATATTTGAACTTTCCTTCTAAGATCCACACTTAGTTTGTCAATATAAGTATCCTGTCGAGGTTGCTAACATGCCAGAAAATCAGCGATCACTTCCCTTTTCATCCTCATTCTTTTAATATAATTTGACCCCTTATGACCCCTTTTTATTTCAATTAAGGACGATTACATCTACCTCAAAAGAGGATGGTCATACTAATTTGATTTTGATTGCTTGTGTATTAAAATGATAATCAACCAAGTCTGACTTACAGAGGTCAATCGAATATTTTATGACTATTCCTTTCGATAGGGTATGTTAAAGTGGTCGCCTCATGGGCTTGAACTGGGGCAATGCGCCACGAGGGAAAAATGGTACGTGGACTTGAACGCTAGCTGGCGCTAACTGCTTCACACGATTTGAATTTATAGGATGGGTAGGTAGGATGAAGTAAGTTTTTGAAAAAAGAGAGCCATGGTAAAATAGTGTTTGGAGTATCCAACAAAGCTCACTTAGAGCTCTAGTAATCGAAAAGCAGATAAATACAGAGGTGGAGGATTGGCTGTAGGATATGCCATCTGAGGTGCGTCAGTCAAAATATCACAGTTTTAAGGTCTAGTAGAGTTCTTTGGAAGTGAAGAAATTATGACACTACAGATGGCCATATTATGATGGGTTATGCAACCAGGCTTATTTAGCTATGAATACTTTGGTAGTATTGTAATATATTTAAATTCCTTTTTCATAGAACTTTCTTTTCGTTTTTACTTTTCTGATTAATACTGGGTGAATATACTTTAATCTACTTTTAGCTAAAATTAGATGATTACTGTGAACTGGCTCCGGTAGGTACGACTCTACATTCTGTCTTCATTTTTATTGTTCTTGGATTTGCTTATATCGATATCGCTGGAAATAGTTTGCTATTGCCTAAAATTACAAAAGTGTATATGAGTACTCATTATATTTTGGAAATTTGTCGCCACTTTTTATGATGGATAGACCCTGTATATTATTTGAGCATTTTTCCTCAGACAAGACTTAACAATAAATTTTGGTACGTGGACCGAATGTTCTGGGCGATTAAACACAATATTAAACTAAAGATTACATGGTTAATTCATTAAGCTTATTTATTGAGTCACAGTGCTTATTCAGACTGCTTGACGGTAGCTGAATTTATTTTGATTTTGTATAATAGCCTTCAAATATACATTATCTTTTTAACCATGTTATTTTTGCGCAGGACTGATTCGATAATACAAAAGACTCTGCGCCGAAACTTTCGAGACTGCACAGTCCTTACTGTGGCACACAGGTTGTTCACCGTAATTGACTCAGATCTCCTAATTGTAATGGAATCAGGCCAAATTATTGAGTATGGCCCACCCTATCTTCTAGTGCTTCAGGCCATGGGAAATGGTAGGTTGATATGGTTGTTTTTCTCTGAATTGGAATACCTGCCAATGTGGTCATTTTAATTCGTTGCTAAGTGATTTTGTTCACGTTTGGCCCTCAGTTGTTAGCTCTATTAATAGTAGGTAGAGGAGATTATAAATTTGTTCTTAAATATGAGCTTAGCATCCGAGGTTGCTTAATGAGGTTTATGGACTGATAGTAGAGTTTTCCAATAATAAAATGAATAAGTCTTACTACGTCATTGAATTTTATGATAATCTTGTATCGATATCAAATCCCATTCCAGGTACTTATGAGACCCAGGCTGTGTCGAAATTATTGTATATACTGGCGGAAATAGCCTTTGTGGAGGCAAAGTTAAGTGGAATTGAATGTAATCGTAATGCCTACTCAGCTCATTGTGGAAATAATCAACTTTCAGATACGAAGAGAAACTTGGTTTCGATGAATCTCTTGAGATAACATTGTTAGGGGGACCTTCATTTCGAATGAAAGTACATGAAGAAGAGATTCGTTTTTTGATCTCACCAGATGAGGACGGATGAAAATCGTTGTACTGCAGCCGTTAGCTTTAATATTATATTCACGTTGACGCAGTCCACGAGTATTCCTCCCTCGTTTCGGGTGAAAACGTTCTGAGCTTTCGTCCATCATATGATGGACATCATC